CCACTCAAATCTCTTTCACCCAACCCCCACCTATCTCTGCCTTTTTGATGGCTGTTTAAAAGTCAATTGCAGAAATGCCACAGGCTTTTAAGGGAAAAAAAATCTATTTAGTGCTCTGCTGTCTGCCTAGGAGTTTTGCTGTTCCAAAAGGCAGCAATCAACTTCTTTTCAAAGTTCTGCTCCCCTATTCAGCCTGACATTAACCTCTGCCCCCAATAGAGATCCCTGTTGACTTATCTGAATTTTGACTTATTTCTTGCCTCAATAAAATATACTAAATCACAATTTGAAAAGTGACAGAACACTCCCTGTGTGCCCCCTTCCATACACACACACACACACACACACACACACACACACACACACATACACACGTAAAACCAGTGAAATTTTATAGCACCCTTACTTGGAAGGTAAGACTGTCAAAGAGTGGCCTCAGGTAAGTCATTTAATCACTCTCTGCCACCATTTTCTCCCCTGGTAAGATGAGGAGCTTGGACTAGAAGTCTCAGATCCCTTCCAGTTCTGGAATTTCACAATTCTGGAGCTGATAAATATCATCAAAGTTAAAACTTTGACTTACACTGGAGTCAGCAAATCATAGCGTTTGGGTCAAACCTTGTCCACTGCCTGCTTCATATGGTCCATGAGCTAAGAATGGTTTTTACATTTAAAAACCAAAAATAGAGAAAAATCAAAAAGTATTTCATGGCATAGAAAAAATTACATTATCATTTACATATCTTCTATGGCTGCTCTTGCAACACAAGAATAGAGCTGAGAAGTTGCAACAGAGAAAGTATGCCTGAAAAGCCTAAAATATTTACTATCTTTACAGAAAATATTTGCTAACCCCAGACCTAAGCCAACAGACCATTTGCACAGTGAGAAAGTCTGCCGCAACAATCTCACCTGATTGAAGTTTCATCTCTGGAAAAGAGGAATCTCACATAGTAATTTCAAATGCCAAAAACAAAATTAATGGACAATTAGTCTGATCCTTATGAAAGAAACCGGAAATCACTGATAAATCTTCCTTGCCAATGTCAGGATTGATTTCTTGTGAGAAATTATTTACTCCAAAGAATTTGTCACTTCCCACTACTTTGCAAAAAGGCCATTACAGTGAATTTTTACCCTTCCGGTTTTTTTTTGTTGTTTTGTTTTTTGTTTTTTGTTTTTCACTTTTTTTAAGTAGTCTGAAGGCAAATCTATCTTTCCTTCTTGAGTAATAGGATCATTCGTGAAAATGGCTGTTAAAGAGCAAGCAAGCATGGAACAAATTGCGGTCCAATAAAGCAGTTACTTTGAAAAGGAAATTGCCCTGCTTAAGTGATGGATTTTGTTTCAGTCCTCACGACCCAAGTTATGAGGCAGTCCAGGGACCCGGGTCCTGGCCCTTATAGTCAAAGTAGCTGCAAAGCCCCACTGGGAGCTCGCCAAGGACTCTGTGAATGGTCAAAAGCCGACCCACCCACCCCACCACTTCTCCAGGCTGCAGCCCTACAGGGTCACAGAGGCTGAGCAAGAATGTAGCAGCACCTAGCATTCAGTCTCCTCCAGTGACCCTTTCAGCCAGCCTGGAACGTCCCCTTGCCCCCACCTCCTCTCTGCTTACCTACTCCAATCAAGGCCTACTTCGAGTTCCATAGCCTTATAATATCCTGTTTTATTTTTCATCATTTTATGGTTGTGTTTTCTCTTCCCAAGGACTGTAAGATCCTTTGGCACAAATTGTACTGATCATTTAGACAACTTTCAGTTAGAGACTACAAGGAATCCTGGCAAAGAGTGTGATAGTGGTGAAATGCGACATTAGTAGGGCTTTGAACCCTTTTTCTCAAAGAGGAGATGGGAGGCTTGAACAATGTTTGCTTTCTCTGATTCTCAGGAAGGGCTTCCTAGATAAAAAGCTGAGATCTGGGGACAATGTGAGAATCCTTAGCAGTATGCTTCTGTTGTTGCTTTATCAGAAGATGTTCTGCCTATTGAGAGAAGAGTTGGTGCTGCAAATTTGTCCTTTCTGGACTTTGCTGAGGAACAGCTTCAAATCAAACTGTTTTGTTTCCTTGAGAACAGAGAAGATGGAGCCTCGGAGCTGTAAGGCTCCCTACTTTCAGCTTATGGGGGCATGATAACAGGCCATCCCCTTGTTAAAACACCAAATGCCTGGTTCCCATCTTAACTCTATTCGAGGCAGTCACTTTAGAAGGAACTTTTGCTGAATTCATCTGCATGCTGTAGCCATGTAAATAAATGTTCTTTCAAAATCAGAAATATTTGCTTTAATTCTAGATTAATGTTTTCCTTTATATTACTGTTTTAAGATACTTTGTATTTTGAAAGAAATTTAATATTTTGCAAGAGTCTTAGTCCTGGAACCTATCAAAATAGGACTTCTTCATTTTGCTTTCAAAAAGAATCATAAGATGATTGCAACCACTGGAAAAAGATAAACCCAATTCAGTAACCTGAGAGCATCTAAAAAATCACCTCCTGAGCTCCACCCCTCAAGAGATTCTGATTTAATTGCCCTGAACAGGGCCTAGGTCTGGGACTTTTTTTTTTTTTTTTTCTTTTTTTTTTTTTTTTTTTTTCATTTTTGAGGCAGTGTCTCACCCAGGCTGGAGTACAGTGGTGCAATCTCTGCTCACTGTAATCTCCACCTCCCAAGTTCAAGAGATTCTCTTGCCTCAGCCTCCTGAGTACTGGGATTACAGGTACCCGCCACCACAACCAGCTAATTTTTGTATTTTTAAGAGACTGGGTTTCACCATGTTGGTCAGGCTGGTCTCGAACTTCTGACCCCAAGTGATCCACCCACCACAGCCTCCCAAAGTGCTGAGATTATAGGCACGAGCTACTGTGCCCAGCCTGTAGATCTGGGTATTTTCACACTGTTCATGTGAAAATCAGACTCCAGGACATGAGTATCAAACATACTTCTGTTGGAGTATTTATCACTTTATACCACCAGTAATCATGTGCATATCTCCCTCTCCTTAGTGATGGTTTCTGAAGGGCCAGGAGAGGGCTGTCAAAACCTGAAGTGCCTACCATTAACCCAGCTCCTTCTGAGGAAGTATCTGCTGTGGAGGGAAGGTAGGGAGGAACTCTAGGAAGTATCTCAAGCAAAGGTGGCCAGGCTCTGTACTCTGTGATGCCGACGACCTGGACACGGATGATTGGACCAGGATAGGCACCTGCCCCCAGGTCTGCTGATCTACAGGGTATTTTGCAACCTGTAAGGAGCCTGATACAAAGGCTCAGTCCAACTCTCACCCCTGGTGAACCCCCAGCGGGGCCAACTAGATCCTTTCACTAAAGGAGTTTAAATGTGAGATCAACTGAGAGCTGAGCAGTTGGTAGCAGGAGCAGAAGCCAAAGGACACCCAGGGAAAAACAGTGAGAGAGGAGCTGAATCACCTTGGTGGCTAAGCCTGTTAGTAGGGATCGGCAGATGCCTGCTGCTGAGGGGGCAGTGAGATAACCCAGTCACAGAGCCGTATCCTGAATGACCTTCCAGTTCCTGAACTTCAATCCAGTTTTCGTGAGGCCTGGCTGGGTGGCCTTTCCGGAAGGCTTTTCGGAGACACGTGGCTGAATGGTGGAGATTCCGGTCAGCCTTCCTTCCACAGTAAACTCCCAATACTTAGGATAAACTCAGTGGTATCTATTCCCCCCACAAGAAAGCCTAATCAACACAATGCCCAGGGTCTAGCACTTTGCCTGGCACACAGCAAGTGCTAAATATTTTCAGGTGCTTGATGGCCTAACCATCCCCAGCAAAAAGCCTGCTGAAAATAAAGAAATCATTCAGAGTAAGAACATTGATGAGGGCCGTCTTCAAATTCCAAAAACAATGTTAAACGGTGATAAATATATTAAGCTTATTCTGTCCTCCAATTTCCGAATTTCTACCATAAATCTACCAAAGGAAATGTCATTTTCTGCAGAACTGCAGAGAGCATCCTAATTTCAGCTAAGGTATGTTTGGATGACTTGATTTTCACTTCGCTTAATCTTAAATCACAGCAACGTTAGTAAGAACAATTTTCCTCCCACACTCGCTTCACTGACAAACCTGCAAAGTAGCTGATCTTTGACTTTTAAGAAGTTTAATAATACATGATCTTCCCCCTACACTGCCACACGCATTTCCCCTGCCTATTGTCTGTATCAGCTACTTGAAGAACACATACTCCCCAACAACCGGATGAGTCATAAAATAAGAGGTACATGGATGTAAACTGAGCCTGTTTACACTTTCCCTGGCCCCAGCTAATAACATAAAAGATGTCCCACTGAATTCAGGTCCAATGGCTTCCGGAAAGCAGGTTTCTGCTTAGCAAAGACATGCCCTATTTAGTACATTATTTGAGAGATAGAGCCAATTCCATGCCCCATGTGAACGAAACGTATTTCATGCACAGGGTGTGTAAGGACTTGCCCTCCTCCTGTCCTCTACAAAAGAAGGCTCCGGCAGCTTCTGGTGGTGAGCTAACCAGCAAAAGGAATGCCCAGAAGGTCTCACCTCTCCCATCCACAGAGCTCTGGGATGGGGGCTCTGGAAACTCAGCACCCAAGGGGCTGCTTGCTGAAGTTTCCCATTTGCATTTTCGAAAATCTGGATAAAAGCAGGTTTAGCTCAACCTCCCCAGACCCGTTCCCAATAAAGTAGTCTTATGCCTCTGGAATTGGGATTTTGAATGTATGTGCCTACCCCATGTCTGGTATTAGATTACAACAGCATGAAAATGGAGCCTAGGACTGAGGAGCCGGCCAGCCTCAGAAGCCTTCTTCATTGCCTGCCATGTAATACATGATATGCAAAGCCTCTGACTTCAGCCAGCAGATATTTGGAGACCGTGTTGGCCTTATCATGGGGCCTAAACTAATGTGTGTTTAGGTCAGAAAGCGAATCAGAAAAGCCACTGGAGGGCACGTCACTGAGTGAGAGCCCTATAAATTCATCCCCACTTGCAGCGTACCCTGGCAAACACTCGGCTTCCCTCGCCAGGCCACTCCGCACCTCTCCTTCTCGGTGCTAGAACTCCGGCCGGCAGCTCCTTTTCTCGCCGTTGCCTCCTGCCCAGCGGAGAAGCGAGAGGGCGAGACAGCAGAGCGGGAAGGCCGGCCTTCGAAAGGCGCGAGGAAAGCCCGGCGCCGCCCTGCACCGGCAGAGCGCCTCCCTCCCTGCGCGGGGCGCCAGGGCAAAGCCCGGCGAGGGCGCCGCGGTCAAGTTCGGATTGCCCCTTTCGGCTGGCCTGCGTGGAGCGCCGCACATTCCTCCCGATCCACCCCGCGAGGAGAAGGCGCGAGCCCAGCGGCGTCTCCACGCTTTCAGCGCTCTCCCTGCAGCCCGGGGAGGGGCGCCTCGCGTCGCCCACTCGCACCCAGGTCCCCGCCTCGGGAACTCCGGCGCCTCCACGTTGCTCTCCGTTCCTCCCCTATCGCCGGGCCCCGCCGCCGCCTCCCGACCCCTCCCTCCAGGGGCCCGCGCCTCCCCTCCCCCACCACGGCCCCGGGCCCCCCAGCCCGGGCTCTCGAAGACCAGCCTTCGCTCCTGGCGCCCTCATGTCTTCACTGGACTCCCCGCGCCGGTTGACGTGGTGTCTCGTTCGGATCTCCAGGCAAAACCTCAGCTCCCTCGGCAGCATCAGACAAGCTCGTCTCGTGCTCCCAGGTAGTGCGCCCCGAGTAGGCGCAGAGCGCTGCAGCTGCCGCTGAGCCGCCCGCAGCGCCCCCGGCCCGCGTTGCCCCAGCCAAGAGCGCAGCGCGTGCAGCCCTGTCACCCCCCGACCCAAAGCAGCAGCGGCTGCTCGGACCTCGGCTTCTGGGGGTGCGGGGAGCCGGCGGGAGAGTTGTTTGCAGCCCTCGCCCTGTTCGCGGCGGCGGCGGCGGGACTCTCGGCCGCCGCCTCCAGCGCGCCCTCGCTGCCCCGCGCGACCCCAGGATTGCGAACTCTTGGCCCTGACCTGCTGGCCAGGGCTCCGCGCTCCAGCCATCGGCCCGGATGGGTGTCCTGGCTGGGACTTGGGCCACCTGGAGTTAATGTCCAACCTGGGGTCTGCGGAGACCCGATCCGAGGTAAGTAGGGGAGCGGGATGGGCTGGAGGGAGCGGGTGGTGCCTGCGTCGCGGGCGGGAGCGGCTGGCTGAAGGGCGCCCTAGTCAGAGGGGTGCGTCTGGACCCCAGAGTAAGCGGTGAGAGTAGAAAGTGGAAAGACTAGAGGGAGCCTAAGCTGTGCGAGGAGAGAGAAAAGTGGAACCGGAGAGACTGGCCTTTGGGACGGGCAGGTTGTCTTTTCCACGTGGGCAAAGATCTGTGAAGCCCCAGATGCCCCTGAACCCCAGAATGCCCAAGAGGGGCAGTTTCCTTCCCCGACTTGGCGAGGCGCTCTTCCGTCAAGTCCCAGAACGATGCATGGCTTGGGTCATAATTCGAACCCACCGCCGCCGAAGTGTCCTCTCTGGACCGGCAGATATTATCATTGCCAAGAATGCAGCTTACTATTGAGCTTGTTGTTGATCTGTTCCAAGGAAAAGCGCAGGCCCGGGGAGGAGCTGCTGCAAAGGTACTGAGAACCTAAAAATGGAGGGCTCACCTCCTCCGGGGGAGGTCTGGCAACGCTACGTTCCTCACCCTGCTGCCAGCACTTTCCTAACGCCCCCAACCCCAACCAACCATCCCGTTCGAGGTTAGGAGAGGGGCTTTCTTGGCAGTCCCGGGCTCAAATCTCTGTCTCGAACAAATTCTTGAGACTCCACTAGGCCATTGAAGTTATTATTTTAATGATCCCTTTTTCTCCTGCACTCCGTGCCGCTTTCCGGTAACACCCCGCCACTACTGCCACTGCTTTACACCACCTCGGGGCTAATTCCGCGCTGTTGGTTTATTTCTGGCCGCAAGGAAGAAAAACGAACCCTCTTCGGGCTGGAAACGGACTTTGGCGGGTTCCCCCAAGCCTCCTGGCGCCCCGCTAGTTTCGGCTTTGGTAGAATCCGCCGGCAGGACCGGTGTGCGCGTCCCGGGGGGCTACCCATCCCCGAGCTTGCGTCGCTTTTGCTCAGAGGCGGCGACAAAGGCAACTCCTCCGGCCCCTGCTGCGGAGATGTTAAGATGAAATACTTAAGCGTATATTCCAAATACTGAGCAAGAGTACGCTCGACTCTTTCTCAGTATTTGGAATATACGTTTAAGTATTTCAAGGAAGAGATGTTTCTTCCAACCTCACTCACGCACCCGGTCCCGCAAAGGAGTCAAAATGGGAGCCCAGTGGCCTCCACCAAACCCTGTTTCCCTGCGTCTTCGCTTTGGCAGGAAAGGTGGAGCCTTTTCAACAAGTGACAAGTGTCCGATGTCTCGGAAGTCGGCCTTGTCCCTAGTCCACTCCCTCTAGCAATTCGGGTGCTCTCGGACCTGGAACACAGCCCTTAGACAGACCCCCCCCTCCCCAGTTTGCCTGCGAGAAGTGTCCCAAATTCTTTTTTCTTTCCTCATCTTGGATGATAAAGGGGAGAATGAGTCCTCTGTCAGTCAAGGACACGAAGAATAGTTAAGAAAAGCAATAGATCTTCCAGCAATTTCTGTCTCTACCTCCCCCCACCAAAAAAAAAAAAAAAAAAAAAAAAAAAAAAAAAAAAAAAAAAAACCTCGGGTTTATAGCAAACCCGTCTCCCCGCCCCACCGCCTCCTTTTTCTCTCTCTGAGACCTGGATCTTGAAGGCAAAGCCCAGACAAACCTCCCAGCCTGCCAGGCACAAGAAGGTGCGGGGGCACTGACGGCGGGAGCGCTCCCTCTGGCGAAGTTGTCACAGTGACGCGGGGAAGGGGTGGGGGATGGTCTGAAAGCAGGTTGCCAAGAAACGCGCTCTGGTGAAGTAGGGAGGAAAACCAGCGAGAATGGAGGGGTGGGAGCCTGAAAAGCAGAGATGACCATTAGGACCTCCACAGGTTCCCGGGCTAATCGGACTTCAGGAGGCTTGCAGAGGGAGTGGTGGTTCTCCAGTTTTATAACTAAAAAGATACCACAGCCTCCGGGCCGCGTGGGCGCGACACAGCTCAGACGGTTTCTGGTGCCCCCTGCTGCCGGGAACTCAGAAGCGCCTCACAAGGAGCGACTACTTTGCGAGCACTACTGTGACTTTCCTGGGCGTCCTTGCCTCCCCAGGCCTGGGGACCCACCAGGTGCCGGCGCCCGCAGCCCGCTGCTTTTGCTCTGCCGGGACGTGGTTGTCTTGGACCCACAGGGGGACCAGCCTGCCTGGCCCGAGAAACGGTCCGGGGTCCCCTGGCGGAGTAGTGCCCCAGTCACTTTAGGAGCACGTGGCGGGGGTGAAGCAGTTCGCATTGCGGGCAAAGGCCGATGTTTGAGGAGAAACGCGCGGGACAGATGCAGATGTGTTTGGGGAAAGCGATAGACAAACTGAGAAGCCGCGGGGTGGAGCCCACGACTCCGAGAAAAACGTCCTAGCAGACGCTGTGTGTACCGAGTCCCCAGAACCTCCCCCCTTTTCCCCCGCCCAGCAAATACCGGGAACTAGAGAGCAGCTCTGCCTGGAGCGGGTCCCGGCGGCGCTCAGGGGGAAGAATGCGCCCTCCTTGTCCGGGGGGAAGAGGGGGAGCTCGATAGGGGCGCCGGCGGCGCTCCGCCGAGGGCGGGAACCGCCGCCGGGAGCCTCCTCTGGCGAGGCAGGGAGTTTTCCACTGTGTTGTCTTTTGCCAGCTTCGCCACACTTCTAATTGAGGATCTCCACGTCCAATTTAAAAAGCCCTCGGTCGGCCAAGCAGGAAAAAAGGGAAAACCCTCTTAAGAAGGAAGGGAAATCTGGTGCCTCTGTGGCTTCCTGCTGGCCGGCACAGCAATTTGGAATGGCGTGTTAACCCCGCGCCTCCCTGCTCCTCCGGACCACCAGCCATTTCGCACGAACCCGAGAGCCGGCACCAGCGGGGGACTGGGGAGGGCGGCTCTCGTTCCCCCGGCCCTAGCTGCCAAAGCGCCTTTCTGTGCTCATTTTGCACGGCCTTGTGCAGTTTTCCTGTGTCTGAGCGTCGCGATCCAGAGGCTAGCTTTTTCCCGAGTTTGCAAACGAGTCCGCGAGACAAGAGGTGCTGCAGGTCACTAAGAGTTTCTAGTCCCTACACCCTCCGAGCCCAACAGCTGCAGGACGAACAAACAGACGCCCAGGGGGATGAAAAACGCATTCGTCTCTGCAGCGGTGGGAGGTTGGCTTCCTCGGGTTGCCTGCACTGGGACAGGGGCAGGGGTTCTGTGTAGAGATGAGGACTGGACCCTGGAAGGGAGGAGGGGTGCCTGTGAACTAATGGCTAGGAAAGACACTGAGGTTTTTGCATTTGTCTGCTTTTTGCATTTCCCTCCTGCACAGAAAAAAAATCGAGTTTTCCTAAGAATACGTTTTATGGGGCGGGTCAAGGGGAGGGGATAATGGACTTGCACGAATCTCGTAGATTCCGCAAAAGAGGAGTCTCTCTAGTCACTAGTCCCCTGGAGACTGGAACCCTGGCATTAGGAAGGCACTGGATAACACTGCACCCCAAGATGCGTCGGTCCTTCCCCATTTCCTTATTGGCTGGAACTCCTCCCCGTATTTACAGTGTCTTTTTCTCACCCACCCCCAGCTGCGTGGCCCCCCTTTGTAGGGGTGTGAGGATTGAGAAGCCAAACAGCTGAAAAGAGCTGAACCCCACCTCCAACCCCCACCCCTACTCCGCGCCATACCACTGTCTAAGCCTTCCTCTGCCAGAGCACCTCCAAAGCGTCCCGGACTGGGTAGAGTCGTCCAGGCGTGACTCCTCTGGGAGGGAAAGGGATTAGGGCCAGAATCTCTCAAAGGTGCAAAAATCCAATCAAGAAAGGGTTTTCAGGTATACCACGGAGGATTAAAACTTTAAAGACAAATTCAGTCTTTGCCCAACAGCAATGGTAAAGCATTTATTGAGCTCTTACTACATATTCCGCTTTCATGCGTGATTTAATGTTCATAACCTTAAGAGGTGGGACGAGTATTTTAAATCGAGTCAGTGCTTCGGGAAGTTAAGTAACTTAACCCAGCTATTCCCATACAGCCCAAAAGTCTCCAAGTCCCTCCTAACTTCTTACTCCGGCAACAGAATACCTATTTAGGTGGGAAGAATGAAACGTGGGCGGCAGGCGGGGTAAGTGGTGCCCCCAAGCCTGGCCTCTACTAGCCGGAAGCTGGGTTGGGACCGGAGGCAGGCGTGCGCTTGATTTTATTCCCGAAGAGAAAGACCGGTCCTTGCTAGGGCCAAGAGGGCTGGTTCCGCGCCCATAGGAGCTCCCGGGACAAGAAGGGGAGGTCTCTGGTTGGGGTGGAGGACTCAGGGTGGGAACTACCCGATTGCCCCCCAGGAATGGGGGATGTTGCGCACCAGTAGAGGGGACTGGACAGGCTTCGTGGTGGTGGTGGGGATGGGGGTTAACTGGAGGGGGACAGCAGCCCTGCTTGAAACCCTGACCCCAAGAGTCAGAGTGGAGAAGGGCAGCTGCAACCTGAACCGGGAGTGCGAGCTGCTCCTGGGGCGCACTGAGGAGGGAGACTCGCAAGGAGGGCGGGAGTGCCCTGGGAGCCGCTGGCCGGCTGCGGTGCCAGAGGAAGGGGGTGACAAGGTTGGAGGGGGGCGCAGGGACCCGCGGAGAGCCCAGGCTTAACGAGCATTCTGTGATTCTCCCCCACCTCCCGCCTGCCCGCGCAGGTGCCGCCGCCGGACGGGACTCTAAGATGAAGTTATGGGATGTCGTGGCTGTCTGCCTGGTGCTGCTCCACACCGCGTCCGCCTTCCCGCTGCCCGCCGGTAAGAGGCCTCTCGAGGCGCCCGCCGAAGACCGCTCCCTCGGCCGCCGCCGCGCGCCCTTCGCGCTGAGCAGTGACTGTAAGAACTATTTCCTCCCCGCGGGGGGCCCGTCGGCGGACCCCCTCGCACCCTTACCCGTCTCCCGCACGCACCCCAAGCCAGCCCGATGTCTGTGTAACCTCCCGACCCATGGGCAAGGGGTGCAGGTGCTGAAGCCCCCAGGGCCTTGCCCGAAAGCGACGCGGGCTGGTTTGCCCAGCGCAGAGGGGATGAAGGTTTTGTGCTGCCCCTTTAGCATTCCAGTGAACAAATATCCTCCCCACCAGCACCACCAGCTCAGAAACACACACACAGCTGTCCCCTTTTCTGTTTCCTCGTCTATACACACACCCAGTTTTTCTTTCTTCCAAAGCCCTTTATCTGTGTGACTGTACCTGGCTATGCTTAATTCTGAAAACTATTGCACTTTCATCCTAAACTGCGCCTGCAAGCCTAGAGGCCGGCTTTTCACAAAAGCAAGCCAGAGGCGGAGAAAACACAGAAGGGCCTACATTTCCAGAACAAGCGTCTGGGTAGTGTCAGATCTGTTCAGAAAAGTTCCGGTTCTAGAAAGCCTTAACCATAAATAGTGCTGGCTGGGACTAGGGACAAAGACTGTAGCTCATTCCACATGTGACAATGCTAACTCTTAAGGGAAAAAAAAAAAAAAAAGCCAGGTTATTCTTATTAGAAATTAAGTCTGTGATTTACCTCTCAAAAATTAACATGTTTTAGAAGCAAGTCAGTTAGGGAATATCGGCTGTGATGTGATATTATTTTCCCTCCATTCCTCGGAAGTTTATTACATGAAGTGAGAGATGCTATATTACAGGCGATAGAGGCTGTTGTGAAGGCATAATGTCAACAAAGGTAGCAACAGAAAATTTCACAACCCCGAAATAAAGAAGGAGTGAGTTGTGTGTGACTAGGATACCACCCTGGCTACTGTTCCCTCCCCAACCCCACCCCCACCCCCAGAATTATCCCTTTTGCGCTTGAAACTTACTGTGGTCACAACCACAGTAGTAATCCTGGAACAATCAGCTGTGTGCTGAGTCCCCCAAACCCATTAGCCTTGGGCTACAAAACAACCCAGTAAATGCAACGTGCTTATTTTATGTTTAATTATAGCAACAAAAGCATCTTCTTCCATAAATCCCAAGAAAGATAGAAAGTGGATTTTTTTAATAAGGCAAATTAAGACTTCAAAAGTAAGTTAAGTAACATGGTTGATACTTTGAAACTAAAGTGCCTGTTCCAAGAATGTCTGTCAATTAACTGTGTAAACCTATTTTAAAGGCTTTTCTTTCCATCACAAATTTCATGTATATAAATATTTCTCCAGCAGAAACTTAAAAATGCCCCTTAGTACCAGGTCTTCCAAAACTAGATATTCATTCACTCAAACGGCCTAGACAAGAGGGACAGGAACATGGTGGCAGATAATCGTTCTCTAACCCGGACATTGCCAAGAGAAAAATGACTGTGCCTGATTACAAAGCTGATTAATTCATGGAGGTTTAATTGCCATTATTAGTGTCCTGTTTAACTAGGCTCATTTAATATTGGCTCCAGCTCCTGGCTCAGTTTTCAACTAACTCTGTGTGACTTTCGGGCAAGTTACTTTCGAGCTCAATGAATACTCTGTAACTGTACCATGAAGAGAGGCCTTTCTGCTCCACAGTGCCAGCGGCTATGAGATTTGCCCCTTGGCCTTTATGCTCCTGTCACAAAGTCCTTTGGTAAGAGTCTCCTAGGAAGAGACTGGAGTCAAGTCACCTACGGAACTTTAAAGAATACTGATGCTAGGTCTCACCCCAGAAGATTCTGATTTACTTGATTTGGGATGTGGCGCAGGCACCTGAGTTTTTAGGCATTCCCCAGATGAGTCTAATATACAGCCAGACTTGAATCACTATGGACTGATAATACCCAAGAAAATCTGTGGCTCATATAAGGTACAGTCACAAAGCAAGCAAGTTAGCCCAGATTGCGGGGGTGAGGGCATGTTGTGGGGAAGCGGGACTGCTTCCCTTTTCCAGAACTGATGCTATGTCATCAACAAACAAGATTCTCACTATTTACACTTGAACGACAAAACACACCCCATTGTGTTTTGTCTATGGAAAGACCCAATAGATCCTAGAGGAAACCAGAAAAAGAAATGTTACCAAAGAGAAACTGAGCTGCATTCTAAGCCAAACTGACTCTTTCCAGGTATGTTTGATTCAGTAGCAAGCTGTCAGTGCAGGGAAGGCAAAATAATGACATTATGCAGACTTTGAACACTCAACCAGTGTCAACACGCCCATGTCACAGTGCTGACATTTATATCCTGCACTGTATACAGTGCAACTGGTTAAGGCTTATGTAGAAAAACATTAAGTCACCACATTTCACTAAAAAATAGAAAGTATCATAAATTCTGAGTCCTCTAGTTCCCTCCAAATGCTTGTAACTTAATGATTGAGCAAAAGAGCTTTCATGCCACATTAACAGTCATTCTGTGCTTTTCACAGGAGGACCGGAATATACACAGTTTGCACACTCACCTTTGAGATTGCATGTGTCCTGCTGGTTCCAGTTTAAATGAAACATTGAGAATTCTATTCCTAGTATGATCTCAGTGTGAGATAACCAAATAGAATTCATAATTGGCCAATGGGCTTGCCTAGAGGCTGGCTGTAAAGTAAATGGCTCATGGCTGCCTCCTGTAGCAACTTCTAGTCTGTATAAACTCAAGGACTTGCAATTTGACTTTTGGGGCACCTAAGACTTTTTCTCTTTGGCTATCTTTGTTCATTTATTTTGCTTTTTGCCACTATTGTGTCCAAAGGGCGATTAGAGTAAGCATAAGGAATCTGCAAGGTGAAACTTGCAAATGTCATAGCATTTTCAAGCTGAAAGGAAACCCTCTAGTCCTGAAACCTAAAGAGGCAAAGCAGTTTGTCTAGAGTGTGCCACAGTTCCATAATCGCTGGAGGCAGGTCTGAAGCTAGGACCAGAGTTTCCCCCAAACAACGGAAATGCACTTTATATGGGAGGGGAAGGATACTTTATATGGGAGGAAGGTCTTGAACTAATGGCTTAGAGCATGGTTCACAAGGTTGTCTAAATTTATTGAAAGTTAGTTCATCATAGTCATATTCCCTATCTCAACTCTAAATGTATTTCATAAGTAAAAGCATAAAATGCATGTTGTTTAAAAATTTGCATCAAAATGCATACATCCATTCACCAAATAGTTAACATGTATGCCTGTCTGTGCCAGGCACTGTCCTAGGTGCTAGGGATACCTTGATACACCTAGTAAACAAAAGTCCCTGCCCTCACGGAACATACCTTCTAGTAAATGTACATGTATGGTAGTATGAAAAATCCAACATGAAGAAACCTCAGCCCAGTAAGGTGGGCTTAACTTTTTGTGCAACTGGAAACCAACTGAAATGACATTGAGTGTCGTTAAGTTGTAATTACAAGTAATTTCCAATTTAGTGTAATATATGGGATTATAGTCTACCAGTTTGTTGGCAGGTCACAAAATTTCCTATAGAAACAAGTTTTTAAATTAAACCATCAGGTTTTCAGGGTAGCCACAAAAAGCTATGTAAATTGTGATATAACTGAACTGTCATTCACAGTATTATTAAGTGAGAGTCTCTGCCCTGGGGGCCACATCCCATAATCTGCAAAAGGAGGGAACAGAACAAGAAATCAGGGAGGTTCAGCAAGCAAGAGCTCAAGGTAACACATTCAGACCAGACTAGGATTTGGACCCCAGCCTTGCCACTAAACTGAGATGTTGAGCTGTTACTTAACATACCTTAAGCTTCAGTTTTCTCCCCTATAAAATAGTCATAACAGTAAACCTGTCTCATGGGCTGATGTGAGGGTTAAGTTAGATATTGCTTTGCAAACCCTCTGCTCCATAAATAGGGATCATAGTTGTCATTTGCCACCCTCCTACTTGCAACGGCCCCTCCCTGGGCACCCAGTGAATTCCCTTCTTCCGCTGTGACATCTGCCAGGATGCTGCTCTAAATGGTGGGATTTCAGCCGCACAACAGCGTATGGGGAGTGAGAGAAATGCAGCTCTTGTGGGCAGGCTATTTTGGGCCTCACTGTTGGTTGGTCAGCACGTAGGCAGGCCAGGCTTGCCTGGGATCGTGCCCCTGGGTCAGATGCCCCTGGCTCTTCCAAGGTTTCACAGCTCCATTTCTTCCCCACTTTCCAAACTCACATATTTCCTATGGAATTTTTCTCACCAGACTCCCATGGTTATGTTAGGGAAACCTCTTCCCTTATGGCAAGGAGGGAGCTAAAATGGGGTAGGCTCTTTCTATGTAAGTGATAAGAGGATTGTGAGTTGGAGGCTACCTATACGGAGATGGAGAGCTTCTGTTGTAAATGAGCCCAGCTGGACATTTAATTTAAGATGTTTCATAACAGCATTAAAAAACTTTTAGTAAACTCTGAGACCACCTCAATAGAACTAAGGAAGCTTCTAGTACAACATGCTGGGTAAATGTTAAGCTTTCAAATCTAATGTCATGAAATATAGAATTTAGAATAAACGAACACCATCTATCTATTGTGTCTTATTGCATAGGGACTGTATGAATTAGCAATACTATAACCAAGTAACTACCTAAGCTGGAAAGGAGCTCTGCCACTTGGGAGGGGTCTCTTGAAATCAAGAAATTGCACATCAGACTCTTACAGAAGGGACTGATCTTTTACTTGAGATCTGAAACCAACATTCTCACTGTAGCCCCAGTCTGGAAACCTATTTCAAACTATTACTGTGTATAGAAATCTATTTAAGGCTTAAATTGATTTGGCCAGTCTTAGGACCTTAGGCTGACCCACAGCATAAGCAATATACTCAACAGGTTCTACCTCAACTGATGTAAAAATTAAAGCTCTCTGATATTTTTCCCCTCCTAACATCTCTTTGATCT